CAAAAACTTACCTATTGGGTACAAAGAGCACTATTCTGGTACCAAAAGCCCTGACTTATGCAAGCTATCCATGTAACAAACAAAAACACTTGTACCTACTTAATACCTGGAAATTAATAAAACCAAACATACACACACACACACACACACAGAGGACTGAAAATTCTAGCCAGAATGACAAGCAAAAAAAGAAAGCAATCTACTGTGATAAAGAAGGACTAATTTGAAGGAATTATACTACTTCACTCCAGTACTTATTATAAAGTTACAGTAATCAGGACAGCAAGCAATGAGCCTAAAGATAGAGGGGTCAACAGAACAAAACACAGATTCCAGAAACAGATGCACACATCTCTGTCAACTGACTTTTGAAAAGGGGGAAAAGGCAGTTTAGTGGCATAAAGGATAATCTTTTCAACAAACAGTGCTAAGACAGTTGATATAAAGATGCAAAAAACCAAAAAAGGAACTGAGATCCATACTTAACACTATATAAAAAATTAACTTGAGATGGATTATAGACCCAAACTTAACATTAAAACTATAAAGCATCTAGAATAAAACAGAAGAAAATCTTTGTGCTTTTAGGCTAAGCAAAGACTTCTTAAACACTATGCCAGAAAGAAAATGCATAAATGGAACAAACTGATACATTATAGACCTCATCAACATTAGGAACCTCGGCACTTCAAAAGGCATTGTAAACTGCATGAAAAGACAAGCCACAGCCTATGATACAATATTTCTAAATTACATATCTGATTGTCAGGTCTCTTGCGTTCAGCCTGCTTTGCCCTGCCAGCCTGGTGCTTGTGTCAAGTCAGCCTGGGGAGTGTGTGTGGCTTGTGGCTCCGGCCACATGGGTCAGCAGCCTTCTGGTTCAGCCTCTTGCCCTCCGAGCCCCAGGAAGAGGGGCCTGCGACTGTCGGGTGTGTGAGCTCACCCTGTCCTGCTGAAGCCTGCGGACCTGGTGCCAGCTGTGACCTAGGAAGCATGTGATTCCCACTAGGGAGCTGTCGGGGCAGTGGCAGGGAGCTGCTGGCTGAGATTTGCAGCCTGGGGCTGGGGGTGTGTGCCGTGGTTCTGAGCCTAAGCCCTGTCTGTGGTGGGGGGTGGGGCAAGAAATCTTTGGAGGAGAGAAGATAGGAAGACGGAAGGTATTGGGAAAGGTGTGGAGGGATGATCTGTCTAGGGAGGGTGACAACAAAGGGAGAGAACAGCCTGAAGACAGAGGATTTCAGTCCATCTGCCTTTTTTTTTTTTTTTTACAGAAAATTTAAGTTCTTTTAAGATATTCAAATTCAAAGTTCCATTTTCTAATCTGTATTGAGGTTGAAGGAGACGCCCCTGGGGTGTCTCTTTTGAGTGGGATGAAAGGGCTAGCTCTCATGTCTTAGATGTCTTTCCCTCACCTAGGTGGAGAAAGCCATCCTTTGTTTCCCAAAACTCGGGAGCGAAAAATGAAGAAAGACTAAAAAAGGTCAGGCATCCTTATTTTTTCTGAGAACTTAAGGTCCCCTTATAAAGCCTAGAAAAGGGCAGTGCCTGTGGCTCAGTGGGTAGGGCATCAGCCCCATATACTGAGGGTGGCGGGTTCAAACCCAGTTCCGGTCAAACTGCAACAAAAAATAGCCAGGCGTTGTGACGGGCGCCTGTAGTCCCAGCTACTCGGGAGGCTGAGGCAAGAGAATCGCCTAAGCCCAGGAGTTGGAGGTTGCTGGGAGCTGTGTGACACCACGGCACTCTACCGAGGGTGATAGAGTGAGACTTTGTCTCTATTAAAAAAAAAAAAAAAGAAAGAAAGAAAGAAAAGAAAAGAAAAGGGTTTAGCATTGGGCTTGAAACAAAAAATGAAACAATTTCAGGTCCCGGACACCAGAAGGGAGCACAGCCGAGGCAAACCCCTCTAGGTAGGCAGGAACAAAGGAACCCAACCAACAAGAAGAAACAAAGGGGAAGTGAGGGCAGAGGCTGGGAACCAGATAAACAGGGAGCCAGGGGAGTCTGCTGGAAGCTATCTAGAGGCCTTACTCACATTTAAAACGTAGTTAGGGCCAAATCTTCTAGGGCTCTCCAACAGTCTGGCCAGAGTGGGGTCTGGGCACAGCCAGACTAGGTTCTGAGAAAACTGGGGTGACGAGGGAGGCCAGCAGCCAGGTTTCAGCACCATATAAAAAGTGTGAATGGTGGCACCCAGAGCTGAGGCCATAGAGATGTTCAGGCCAGGTTTGTTGAAAGGGGAGGGTGACCTGCCTGTGCAGTGCAAAGAAGCATCTGCACTGGCGGCAGTTAGAGACCACTTTATGGGGCCCTAAGAGTGGGCATTCCACAGAAGAGCTGTCAGGCTAGAGTCCTCTGATGAAAACTTCTGGGGGGTGGGGCTAACCAGATCCTTTGTGTCTTTGTCTTAGGAAAAGAGGAGGAGGAGGTGGGGAATGGTTTGTTTATGGCTACCTTAGGCTCCCCAGTACCAATAAAGGACTTTTCTCCAGAATATATAAAAAACTGTTAAAATTCAGTGAAGGCAACAAGCAACATAATAAAAACTAGTCACAAGATTGGAAAAGACACTTCACCCTAAAAGATAAACAAATGGCAAACCAGGACACGATAAGATGTGCAATGCAAATTAAAATCACAATGAATTACCACCACACACTTACTAAAATGGCTGAAATGGAGAAGCTGACTGCACCAAGTGTTGGTGAGAATGTAAAGCAACTGGAATTTCACACATTGCCTGATAAGAATGTATAAATGGTACATTTCACTTTGGAAAATATATTTTTATACTTAAAAAAGTTAAAACTTTTTTTGGCTCAGTACCCACAGCACAATGGTTATGGCACCAGTCAGATACACCGAGGCTGGCAGGCTTGAATCCGGCCCGGGGCCAGCTAAACAATGATGACAACTGCAACAAAAAATAGCCAGGCATTGTGGCAGGTGCCTGTAGTCCCAGCTACTTGGGAGGCTCAGGCAAGAGAATCACTTACGCCCAAGAGTTGGAGGTTTCTGTGAGCTGTGATGCCATATCACTCTACTGAGGGTGACAAAGTAAGACTCTGTCTCAAAAAAAAAAAGTTAAACTTTTTAAGTTTAAAAAATTAAACACACACCTACCATATAACAGCCTTCCATTCTAAATCCTTTACAGTAGAGAAATAAATGCATATGTCCATATAAATAGACTTGTATGCTAATATTCAAAGCATTCCTATTTGAAACAGCTCCAAAATGGAATCAGCATAAGTGCTCATCAACAGGTCAATGGATAAGCAAACTGCAATATACCCACACAACGCAATAGGCATTAGCAATGAAAATGAATGAACTGCCGAAACATAAAACATGAAGGGATCTCCAAGTAATTAGGACCTGGGCCCAAGTCACAAATACCGTATGATTCCATTTACAGAAAATTCCAGAAAACAAATTAATCTGTAATGTCAGGAAATAGATGAGTGGTTGCTTGGGAGTGAAAGGTCACAGGCAACAGGAAAGGAGCAAGGGAGGGGGTAAATTTTGGGGTAATGGATGCATCCAACATCATGATTGTGGCGAAGGCTTCACAAGCGTATATAAATGCTAAAATTGATCAAGCTGTACACTGTAAATAAGTGCAGTTATTTCAGACCAGGAATAACTAATGAAGATTTTTTCCAAAAGTATAGCAAAGGGCTTAGAAAATGCTGGCCAAAATACGTATGATAGCAGTAAGACTGCACTTTTTTTTTTAGACAGAGACTCACTATGTCACCCTCAGTAGAGTGCTATAGCATCACAGCTCACAGCAACCTCCAACTCTTGGGCTTAAGTGATTCCCTTGCCTGAGCCTCCCAAGTAGCTGGGACTATAGGCGCCCACTACAAGGCCCGGTTATTTTTTTGTTGCAGTTGTTTAGCTGTTGTTTTAGCTGGTCCAGGTTTGAACCCACCACCTTTGGTATATGTGGCTGGTGCCATAACAACTGTGCTATGGGTGCCGAGCCAAGAATGCATTTTAATGCAGCATAGAAATGCCTACAGAAACACAATATTTTGATTGTTAACATTGTATAAACAGAATGAAAAGAGAAATCTTTGGGTAAGAATTCCTGCTAACATAGAGGTAGTAGTAATTAATCATTACCCAGGCAAGTAAAATTATTAACTGATTAAAACTTTGAATTATATTCACTCAAAACTCTCAAGGTCATTAGAAAATTTCAATATATTGCCCATATATATTTTCTCAAGATTTTAGTTATTTTATATACCTCCTATCAAATCAGCATTTTCTATTAATTGCACAGATAATTATTTCTCCTACTTTACCAAGAAATTCATGTGGGAAAAAATAAGAGGTAGAAATTAGTTGCCTTAAAAATTTTTTTGAGAAATGTTTCCCCTAAAAATCGCTATTGAAATTGTCTTAAATATAGAATATGGAAAACACATGAGCTAAACATCAACTTAATAAAGTCATATTTTAATCTATAATCACAGAACATCTAGAATTTACTTCATGAATGTACAAATTTCTCATCCTTTGTGCTTTGGTTTTTAAGTACTGTGTATAAGACACTGTTCTATCTACTACTCCTACCTGTATAATAAATGCTAATAATAGTATTTGCTATGTTTTTAGAAGTTGATGTCACAGAAGAGAATTTTAACTTCAAAAGTGATATTTGCAAAATGGAACAATACTACTATACTTCCACAATTGCTACTGTAATCATATTTATTAAGAAATTTAGTTGTATTTATTCATAAAAATCTGTAGCCAAAACAAGATACATTCAACTCCTTTAAAACTGCATTCTCTTATTTAACAAAATAGAAACATTTTTTAATGATTGATTATAATATTTAAGTTGTTAAAATGAGAATAATTTGAGGGAGCTATATACTTTTATTTCGTTGGAAACAGAGTCCACCCCAGAACTAAAATGAAAACACTTCGTATTCGTGGTGAGAGAATGCAATTTCTAACTCCAGTTGAATGATATTTTGTACCTTAGTGATGTTTGGCTCCTCCATCATTGTATTTTTGATAGTTTCACTGTTGTCCTCTAATGACTTCATCAAGAAAGAATAACCACATGACAAAGAATAAAGATGAGATATAACATGCAAAATATCGGGGATATATTTTTAAATTATATTTTTTAACCGAATTTACTAGAAAAGAACACTGAACTGAGCTAGTATTCTTAAATTTTATAAACCTTAAAAAAGCATGTGTAAGGAGACATGGAACAGGGAAAAACTTAATTCCTCAAAACTGATTAATCATACAAATAGTATTCTTTCTCCTAAGAAATTTCTATTCAACTTTTTCTGAGAAGTTGACCTGAAATACAAAATTGAGACTGAAGTACTTCATATTAAAACATTCAGATCTACTCGTACCACAGTACTATCAACTGAAAATTAAAGTACTAGTGTTCTCTTACACAACACTATCTCTTTTATCTCAAGATATCTACCCTTCAGGAAAACATCCTGGTTAAAAAGTTTCAATTTCACCCCTATAATCCTAGTACTCTGGGAGGCTGAGGCGAGTGGACTGCGTAAGCTCACAGGTTTGAGACTGGCCTGAGCCAGAGCAACACCTGATGTCTAAAAATAGCTGGGTGTTGTGGCTGCCGCCTGTAGTCCCAGCTACTTAGGAGGCTAAGAGAATCACTTGAGCCCAAGAGTTTGAGGTTGCTGTGAGCTATGTGCCATAGCACTCTACCGAGGATGAGACTGCCTCAAAAAGAAAAAAGAAAAAAAAGAAGCTTCAATTTCTACATTTCTAAACCTTTTTCTACTGACTTTGTCAGACACAGTCAATAAGTTATTTGGGAGCACACATTTTTCTTAAAAGGGAATAGTGGCACTTGTCAAAGAAGAGTTGTTTCAATATCTTTAGTTATTCTTAGAAAATAAAACAGAAAAAGGAATTGTGAATAAAGTCAGCAGCTATCAAATCCTCATTTTACATTAGACTATTTATAATCATCTGTTCTTAATTTCCAAATAACTACAGATAACACAGACATTCTATTTTAAAATGCATACACCAGTAAACTATACAGGAATAGAAAAGATCTGAGAATACATAGGATTTTAAGGTCAGATGAAGAAACTGTAAAATTTTATTTTCAAACACACAAAGGAACAAAGAAAAGGCAGCAGTCTGAAAATATTCTCTATCAATCCCATACGAAATAGAGGACTTACATATACTCATCTCCTAACCATTTGGAAAGTCAGTCACCTGGACTCAAATTATATCATTTTTTAACAATGAGAGATGGAAGGTAATTTTGTTAATACCAAAACAAGCTACAACTTTACAGTAAAGATTAATTACACACCAACTTTATAAACTTAAAATTCTACTTAATTCCAACCAATTTATGTTTTATTATAAAATTTTTCTTGTCATATTCCGTTTATCAAAAAGTCACCATTTTTAAGATTATCACCAGCAAGAACAAAACAAAGGAAGAACAAATTTCTAATAACTACTGTTAATTCCACCAGGGTTTAAAAAAGTCAAACCTATTGATCAAAACATGGCAAAGTAAGGGGTATTACAGTCATTTTGCAGATAAAGAAACTAAAATTCAGAGAAAATATATGGCTTATTGAGAGTTACAAATCTGTTAGCCAACATTTATGTGGATGCTTTTGATTAAAATAGTTACAATAGAAATTTAAAAATTTTCTTTAGATATCATAAAAGAAAATAGATAAATCTTGAAATTCATAGTTGTATTTATTATCTGCTATCCTTATGCACTTAATTATACTAATTTCCTTAATAATTCAATTCCTGAATGACTAGATGATCTAACGTTTCAATAGTTTTGTTTTGTTCTCAGAACTATTTCCTTTCCCAAACAGACTAAATAGAAGTAGAAAAATAAGTTTTAACCTTTATATTATTAATCAAATATGGCAATAATTTTACATGAAATTATTCTTTCACATTTGCATTTTAGGTATACCAGAGAGAAGTCAAAGACATATAAGCAAAGTAAAAGTAAAAATAACTAAGAGTAAATTATAAATGTCTTACCACAAAAAATAAGTGAGGTGATGGTTATGTTAACCAGTTTGATTTAAACATTCCACATTGTATATCAAATCATCACATTGCACCCCATAAATGTATACAGTTGTGATTTAACAAAAGATCAAATTAAAAACAAAAGTAAAGCAATGGTGCTTTATTTATTACATAAGAATGCTTTAACTTGTAATAAATTCTTTCAGGCAAAGATATATTTAAAATAAAATATTAACCAGTAAACATAATCTAATTAGTCTTAGACTCTTTTCTAACATATTCATTGTCAATTTTATTTATTCAAACATTTTCCTGAACTGTTTCAATGGTAACTCATATAATAAATACTTAAGACATATTTACATGAGGTTAAATAAAGAAATGAAATATATTCATGTTCAAGTCAAAAGTCTTCTAAGTCAGCAAGAATATTTCAAATATGTAATATTTGTTTCTTGGGTTGGCCAATTTGAATATATTTATAAAATCACACAAATAATAAATAACACACACGGTTTCCATGTAGAAATGAGTGCTTAAAATTTAGACACAATGAAATATATATGTAATTTTCCCTTAAGTCAGAAAGGTTAGATATCACCTTGCTTTTTGCTTACTTGTCTATTGTGAAGTCATTCTAATTTCTTTATTTCTCCAACTGAAATATCTTCCGTTTTTTCCTCCCATTTCAAAAACTGTACAAAGCTTGCCTTCAGACTACTTCAGTGCTACTCAAAATGTGGTACACAGACCAGGTGCCAGTTTTGAACTCTTTCTTTGTTACTGGTCCAAGAGAGATAAAGAACCAACTACATCACTAAGTCTACTGTTTAGTTCACCTGGTATTTTACAATAAAAAAACTTTCTCATGAAGGAAGAAAGATATTAATTTATATTTAGACACAAGTTCCCCATATCATCAAACTGATACTTTTAGTAACCCTAAAATAAATGACAAAAATACAACCATTATGATGTTAATATCAAGATATAACCAACCAGTGCCAGCGTAATCATAAACTGAGTTTGCAAAATTTCATTAATTTAAGCATAAACCATAGGAGAAAATGTGTATTTACAAAGTATTCAGAATACAAAGCCAGCTTCAGTTAAACTTCTAAGATAGATCTCTTTTAAACTATCACACGAAAATCATAAGAAATTTCTACCTTGACTCTTAAATTGGAGATCTTGACAACTTAAAACAGGAAAGAACATAGACAATCATCTTTTTTGAGAAAAAAAAAAATCCCAAATCCGTCTTAATGATTTAAATTTGAATTAAAATAATTTAGGAAAATATTGCCCTCTCTCCTTTTGAATCACTTTTCTAAGCATTAATAAATTGCATATGTTTATGATGTAAAAATGTATTCTCAGAAATATCTAAAACGTAACACATTTTTAATGGTTCCATAACATAAAAGACTTCAATAGTAAAGTAGTACACAGATTTTGACTTATACAGACCTCATTTAGACACCGTTTCTTTGTGAATATATTTCTGATAAAGGTCTCCTGAATTTCTTCCTGCTTTACCAAGTACTGCCAAAGCCTCTTCACAGACAATGCCAATTGGTGTTTTGATCTACAAAAAGACAGTAAATTTAATTATATAACCAGAGATTTCGTATTAACTTGATCACAATTCCTTGGTGCTATACGACTATTTATTATAATAAATAAACTAGAATCAGATCTTTGATCTATGGCAATAGTTGGCAAACATTTTCTTAAAGGATTAAATATTATACATTTTAGGCTTTCTGAACCACATGGTCTCTGTCACAACTACTCAACTCTGCCACTGTACAAGTTAAGTATCCCTTATCCAAAATGCTTGAGAGGAATGTGTTCTGAATTATGTATTTTTTCAGATTTTGGTATATCTGAATCTACATAATAGGATATCCAGGGGATGGAGCCCAAGTCTAAAAACAAAATTCATTTATGTTTCATATACACATACTCTCTCTCTCTCTCTACATATATATATATATATATGTGTGTGTGTGTGCATAAAACATAATCTTATGTAATATTTTTATATAATCATATAAAATTTTTAATAATTTTGTGCATGAAACAAAGCTCGTGTTAAGTACTTATATGTGGAATTTTCTACTTGTGGCATCATGATGGTACTCAGAAAGTTTTAAATTTTGGAGCATTTCAGATTTTGCTTGTTTTTCAGATTAGAATTGCTCCTCCTACAGTGGGAAAGCAGCCACAGATAATATGTGAATAACATTAATGGCTGTGATCCAATAAGATGTAATATACAAAAGCACAAGGAAGCTGGATTTGCCTGAGGGGCTAACTATAGTTTGCTGATTCACAACCCAGGGCCATGGGATCTAACAAAAAGAGGTCTGCTTCCTAGAAAGATGCAGAGTGGGGCCACTCCAAATGTTGTCCACAGACACACAGCACTCCACAACCTCTCACTCATCAGCAATGAGGTGAGAGGTTCCACACACATGTAATTAACTCTGACACTAAATCACTAAATACATTGTTTAGTTCAGTTAATATTTTTTGTGGCACAATTGTAGGAGGGACTTTACCTAAAAAATGCAATCAGCATAACCTAATTCTTTGTACCCTCAATGAATCCCAAATAATAAATAAAAAAAATTTTTTTTTGTGGAAAAACTTTCTTTCTAGAGGAAGCAAGCTCTGCATTGATTTATTTTCGTTTGTTTAAGCCAGTCAAACTTGGCAGTGGAGGTTGTATATCAACTTCAGTGACACTATCTATTGTTATTAAGTTCTGACTGACTTAACTTTTTTTTTTCTTTTTTGAGACAGAGCCTCAAGCTGTTCCCCTGGGTATAGTGCCATGGCATCACAGCTCACAGCAACCTCCAACTCCTGGGCTCAAGCAAGTCTCCTGCCTCAGCCTCCCAAGTAGCTGGGACCACAGGCGCCCGTCACAACACCTGGCTATTTTTTTTTTTTTTTGGTTGCAGCCATCATTGTCTTTTGGTGGGCCTGGGCTGGATTCAAATCCACCACTTTAGGTGTATGTGGCTGGCGCCTTAGCCACTTGAGCCACAGGCGCTGAGCCCTGACAACTTTTAATTCAAACTTTCCTAACAGACAGAACAACTGCTGACTGGCAATTCTGAACAGCACTGCTATAGAGCAGCACTAGTCAGCTATGGCTCACAGGACAGACCCAGCCTACCTCCCATTTTCAAAATTAAGTTTACTGGACCATAATAGCTGTGTTTATTTGTTTACACATTGTGTAAAGCTGCTTTTACTATACTATGACAGGATGAATACTTGTGAAAGGGACATATGATCTGAAAAGCCTAAAATGTTTACTATCTGGACAGTTGAAAAAATAATATGCTAACCTCTAGACTACCACAGCATTACATAAAGACACAGATTTGAATCTACAACAAAAAATTAAACATAAGCCTTAAATATTTTTTCTCTAAAGATTACCTGACAACATTCTCCTTTAGCGAAACTCCTACCTTAAAAACAGTATCCACAGGAAAACCTACTTGAAAGGAGTGTTTGTAGGTTCCAGTAAAGCTTTGTGGCGGAGAATTGCGGGGCCTGCAGACAAACTCTCTTCAGAGGTGTGACTTGCAATGTAGTTTTGAGGTGGCCCCCCATGGATTTCAAGTCCTCGAAGAAGAACTTGTTCCCAACACTGAAGAGTTTTCAGAACCGCGTGACAAAGAGGTGAACTTACTGGAAGCTCTAAAAAGGGAAAATATAATTGACCCACATTTATTGTCTGCAGTAAAATGCTACAGTCCATTGTAGGAAAGACTGAAATAAGATATTAACACACACTTTGGCAGGGGAGGTATGGAAGGAGCGGTGGGCATCGTAGATTAAAAAGGAATCTCATCAATCTGGGTAAGCATTTCAACATTACTGTTTTTGACTTTAATTTCATGTGAAAAATGTACCAAAAGATCATGAAAAAATGTGTGGAAAGAAAAATAATTGCCTTAAATCTTTATTTCGGCTCAACACCTTATGGCACATATTTAGAAAATGAGAATAATACACAAAGCAAAAAAAAGTTAAACAATATTTGCCATGAAATTCTGCACCCCTCCACACTCTTGAATCCTCATCCCACTTTCAACCTCTGGCAAGTTCTGCTTTTTACATTCTCATATCTAAACAACATGCTTTTATATTGAGTTACTGATTTTTCAATTTTAGAAATAAACCTCACAATAAACTTTTCTCCCTCATCCCAATATAGTCTCAATTTTGGGGGGTTAAACTGGTATAATATTTTACATACACATGTAAAATTACATGTATGGAAATACAATTCATAGCCAAATCACTTGGTATATCATCATGCCCCTTTCTTTCCCGTAGAACTTTTTCTTCCTTTGGTGTTAATAATTGCTAGTTTTTCCATTTGCTTAGTTTTCTATGTGTCTACTATTATGTCTCGATACTTGGCTAGAGCTATAAAGAGAATCTCAGTATAGCCAATCACATCAGGGTCAATGCCCCTGATTTCTCTGATATTGACTTCCTTAAGCACCTAAAGGTGTAACAGCTAGATTTACAGATGGTTGGTTGGACTAAAAGAAACCTATTTCCTATAGCAGAAAGTTACTAAACTTTTTCTCTTTACTGATTTAAAAAAATAAAGATCAGTAAATCAAAAGTAATAGTTCACGTTAAGATATTTATTACCTGCAAGATCATGACCTGCAAAGGGATAGAAAGTCTTCAAATTGTTGAGCACCAACTGCACCATGGCCAATCGCATCAACGACCAACTAAAAATAAAGCAATAATGAAGTCCTTAAAGATTTATATACGGATTTAAATGAGTACACCACCCTTTGACCCAATAATTCCACTAACAGGAATCTACCCTGAAGACAGATACTCCTCCTCAAAACAAATTAATATTTGCAAGCAGTTATTCACGTAAACATTATATATAATAGAGTAGAAATAACCAAATTGTCCATCAATTTGAATAACTAGTTTTGAACTATGGAATATTAGGGTAACCATTAAGAAGAATAAAGATGTTCTAGTATGAATTAAAATAAAAAGCAAGTTGCAAAGCCAGTTGCAGAACACCACAGTAGGCAGCCCAACTGCATACAGATGCAGATACACATTATTTTTATAAGCAAATGCATATGGATACAGATCACATCTGCATTTTTTGCAAACAGAATAAACCAAAAACTAATAAAAGGGGGTTTTATGTAGACAGTGTAGAGAAGATTGGGTGGAGAAAATAGAAATATAAGTGAGACTTCTAATTTCAAAGTTTTATATAGTTTGTGAAGAAAGGTGTTTTAGCTTCTCACACATTTAGTTATTTTTTTAACTGTGGTAAAATACACATACCATAAAACCATTTTGTTCTTTTTCGGTTTTTGTTTTTGATTTTTTGAGACAGGGTCTTTCTCTGTTGTCAGGACTGTAGTGCAGTGGCATCATCATTCTTCCTGACTATCTGGGACTACAGGCATGTGCCATTATGCCTGGTTAATTTTTCTAATTTTTGTAGAGATGGAGTCTTGCTCTGGCTTGGGTTGTTCTTTAATTCTTGGCCTCAAGCAATCCTCCTACCTTGGCCTCTCAAAGTGCTAGGATTATAGGCACAAACCACTGCATCCTTCCTATTTTATTTAAGCATACAGTTTAATAACATATGCAGCTACTCCCTAGTTCCAAAATGCTCTTTGCAAAGCTATAACTGTATGCTCATTCAACAATAACTCTCCACTCTTCCCCCTTCCCAGTAACCACCATTCTACTTTCAGTCTCCATGGACTTGACTATTCCAGGTACCTCATAGAATTAGTGAAATCAATCACCATTTCCCTTTTTGTGACCGACTTCACTCAGCATATGCACTCAAGGTTCATTCACAGTATAGCATGTGTCAGGATCTCCTTCCTACTCAAGGCTGAATGCCATGCCGTTGTATGAATAGTATAATTTGTTTATTTATAGACACTCAGATCGTTTCTTCCCTTTGGTTACTGTACATAATGCCACTATGAATACAGATGTACAAATATCTGTTTTTAATTCTTTTGGGTATATGCCCAGAGTAGAATTGCTACATCATTTGATAATTACATTTAAAATTTTTTGAGACACCTTCATATTATTTTCTGCAGTAGCTGCACCATTTGACATTCCCACCCATAGGACACAAAGATTCTCATTTCTCCTCATCCTTGCTAACCCTGTTTGGTTTTTCTGATAGTCATCCTAATGGGTATGAGATGGTATTTCATGGCAGGTTTGATTTGCATCTCTCTAATGATTAGTGATATTAAGCATCTTTTTATGTACTTATATATAAACATGTCAATAAAGACAAGGTAATATTCCATCACTCATAAATGTAAGAATATGCAGTATTGGAGCTAAAGATGACCATTTTGAACATTTATGATTTTTTATAACATCAAAAGCTTTTTTAATTGCTTCTCAGCCTTTGGCTAAGATCAAGTGCAAAAGCTTTAAGAAAGTACTTCTTGTTATCGTATAGTACTAGTATTCTACTGTACTATAGGTTTTCTAGGCTAAAACAGTGGAACTTGTTTATGTTAAGGATCATGCCTCCAAAAGGCAAGGCATGATCTGAGAGCGGGATTTGTGAGATTTCTGAGACCATTATAAATGGTACGTTCATGCATAATCAGAAGTTAACTGAGTTAATCATAATCAGAAGTTAACTGAGTTAATCACCAACCAAAAAAGCCGACAATCCCTTCTATCAATGGGCAAGAGAAATGAATAGAATCTCCTCTAAAGCAAATAGACAAATGGCTAACATATGACAAAATGCTCATTGTCCCCAATTATCAGATAAATGCAAATCAAACCACCCTAAGATATTACCTAACCCCAGTGAGAATGGCCCACATCACAAAATCTCAAAACTGCAGATGCTGGCGTGGATGTGAAGAGAAGGGAACACTTTTACACTGCTGGTGGGACTGCAAATTAATACAACCTTTTTGGAAGGGAGTAAGCAGTTAACTCAAACTAGATTTCCCATTTGATCTTGCAACCCCGAAGAAAAAAAATCATTTAGCATAAGGACATCTGCACTAGACTGTTTATTGCAGCTCAATTTACACCTGCCAAACTATGGAAACAACTTAAATGCCCACCAACCCAGGAATGGATTAACAAGCTGTGGTATATGTATACCATAGAATACTATTCAGCAACTACAAAAGATGGAGACTTACATCTTTTGTATTAACCTGATGGAGCTGAAACACGTTCTTCTTAGTAAAGCATCACAAGAGTGGAGAAGCAAGAATCCAGTGTACACAATTCTGATATGAGGACAACTGATGACCTAGTATATGGTGGGGGGTGAAGGAAGGGGGGAGTGGAGAGAGGGAAGGAGGAAGGGGTGGGGTGGGGTCACGATATGTGACACACCTCTTAGAGGTGGGACACAATTATAAGAGGGACTTTGCCTAACAAATGCAATGAGTGTAACCTGGTTCTCTGTGCTCTCAGGGAATCCTCAACAATTAAAAAAAAAAGTTAACTGAGAAATTGTTATGTATTTATTATTAAATAAATTTAAGAATTTCAATAAGTAATCTGAGTTATAATTCACTCAGCTATTAATTATTATTATTATTCACTCAAGCTAATAATTTCACAGATATTATTTTTAAAATATTTATATAAACCATGATGACATTTTTAAAATTTAACATTCCTTACCTATAGGAATTTGAATTAGAATGCTCCTGGAGATGGAAATCTGTTGCTAAAACATCATCATCATCATCATCATCACTTTCCAGACTCTCTTCTGAATCATACTCTGCTCTACTTTGGGAAGGGGGTAGAAAAGGCTAAAAAAAAAAATAAAGTTTTGAAATTTATCATCTAAATATCTGATTTAATACATTCAAACACACAGTCTAATAGTAATAATTCATACCACTGGCAGATATTTCATTATAATATTGCCATTCTGTGCCTCTGACATTGCTTTACACAATTCCTTTATTTATTCATCCAGTCAACAAAAGATTTATCCACTGTGTGCCAAAAAGTATACTTAAGAATTTTAAGTATATTAAGACATAATTAAGTATACCTAAGAATGTTTAAGATGGATACAGTCATTACCCTTCTGGAGTAATTTTAGCAGAAAAGATAGGCACATACAGAAAACTAAATGCAAACTGTGTTATGTGCTATAAGGAAAAAAAGTTAGGCCAAACATGGTAGCTCAGGCCTATAATCCCAGTACTCTGGGAGGCCGAGACAGGTGGATTGCTTGAGTTCAGCAGTTCAAAACCAGCCTGAGCCAGAGCTAGATCTCAGCTCTAAAAACTAGCTGGGTGCTGTGGCAGGCGCCTGTAGGTCGTCTCAGCTACTAGGGTAGCTGAGGCAAGAGGACCACTTGAGCCCAAGAGTTTGAGGTTGCTGTGCTGTGACACCACGGCACTCTACCAAGGGTGACAAAGTAAGACTCTGTCTCCATTAAAAAAAAAAAAAGAACTGAAATGGAGAATAAGGAAAATTGAGATAAGAGATGATCACAGAAGGCCTGTTTGAAAAGCAGATTTTAAGTGAGATCTAACGGACAGAAAGAACAAGCTGTACCAGAGACACACAAAAGCTTTGATACCCAAAAATTAAGAAATGTAAAAAGTCATTTTGATTACTATAGTTTCTCAAACTAACCGCCAGGATACTCTATGACAGCGGTTCTCAACCTGTGGGCCGCGACCCACAGAAACTGTTTTAAAGGGCCACAGGTTGAGAGCCATTGCTCTATGAACTTTTGCCTTCGTGTAAACCATTTTTGAAAACAACCCTTCCATTTTCTTCAAGTGGTATAAGCTCATTTTGGTAGGTGTGAACAGCTTCTTCAGGGACAGAGAAACTTCTTCCTACACGTGTGGTTTTTAACTGTAGGAAATAATAAATTATTACATGGACCAATACTGTTGAAAGAAAAGTTGAAGAGAATAACAGATAATAGCTCAGACGGGGTCTTGTAGGCCATGGTAGAGGAGTGTAAGGAAATGCCACTAGTAAGTTTTAGGTTGAGGACAGTTAATGAGGTTCTATGTTAAGAATATTGTTATGACCCACTCTCCTTGAGAGAAAAGCCAAATAGCAAGAGTCGACATGAGGACATCAGTAACTAAAGAGTTGGCAGTCTACACACAGGCGTTAGTGACAAAGCTGGAGGGGAAGAACAGATTCAGATGCATTTTGGAGAAAGCACTGATAGACCTCCTGATAGATTTGGAGAGCAAGGGAAAGTGAGAAGAAAAGAACAATTCCTGGGTTTCTGACCTGAGCAATTATAAAGATGAAGATGCCATTTACTAAGATAGAAGTATTATGGGCATAAAAGGGAGGTATTAGAGAAAATAAATATCGAATGTCCAAATCCTGAAGAAGACTAATATTCTTCAGGAGTCAAGTAGAGTCAAGTAGAAGAGGAAGGATAAAAAAAGACTATGAAGGAATAAACAGTAAGCTTAAAAACAAAACAGACTAGAAGAGACTGACACCAAGAGAATGGGAGAGAAAAACATTTCAAGGAAGGAGGTCAAGTGTACTGAGCTATGCTAAGAGGTCAGACAAGATGATAAGAAAGTGTCAGTTACATTTGACATGGATACCACCTAAATTTCAGCAAGAGCCACTTCAGTGGGGTAATTGGGCCCAAAGTTATATAAGTAAATATGAAAGGGAAATAAAGTAATAGAAAGAAAATGTGTTTGAAAAGCTGAGTGTTGGGACACATTTATGTCTTGATGTGAAGATGTAAGAGAGAGAGAAAAAGAGTGAGGATGAGAGTCAGAGGAGAACTGGAGGAAATGGTCTCTGACAGGAGGAAATGGTCCCCGCCACTGCATCAGGATGAAAGGGTAAGGGGAGTGCGTGTACACTGGATTATAACTTCATGACAGGATGATGAAAGAATACTGTCTGATTCTATTTTTCTCAGTGACTTACAAGGTGAGTACAGCAGTTACGAGTGAGAATAGGATGGAAGAGACGTGTGAAGTTTGAAAAAAGTTGTAAGGCTTGGCACCTGTGGCTCAAGTGGCTAAGGTGCCAGCCACATACACCTAAGGTGGCAGGTTCGAATCCAGCTCAGGTCCACCAAAAACAACAATGATGGCTGCAACCAAAAAATAGCCAGGCGTTGTGGCGGGCTCCTGTGGTCCCAGCTACTTGGGAGGCTGAGGCAGGAGACTCACTTGAGCCCAGGAGTTGGAGGTTGCTGTGAGCTATGATGTCACAGCACTCTAACCAGTGGGATAGCTTGAGGCTCTGTCTCAAAAAAAGAAAAAGAAAGAAAAAAGTTGTAAAATCTTGGATCTAGAGGAGTCCAAGAAACAGAACATCTGAACAGCTACATAAAGAGCTTGATAAATCCTCTCCCCCCAAACAACAATAAAACTAGAGAAAGCTGTCAGAAACAATCAGTAGAAATCAACCAAATGCATACAACACATAGAGAAGCATTCACTTAGGAAAATCTATGGAATATGGGTAAAAGAGTGAGAACTTGGTCAAGGGCTGTTCCTATCCCAACCGGATTCTGTGGTCTAGAGTTCCACTAGAGCCAGCAGGGCAGGCTTCATGATGCACTGTGCACTGTCAGAGCGGACTATTTGTCAAATCCCATGTCCAGAAGTATTACCAAAAACAAGAGATCTCATTAGCAAACAATTAAGAAAGGCTAATACCTGAACTACCTTGAGGGTGTGATATAGATTGGGGCTTAGAAGTCCCCAGAATTTTAATAAGGAAATCCAAGAACAAGAAGCCAAAGAAAGCCTTGCAAACCAATAATCCTATATCTAGCAAAACCATCTTTCAAAAAATGAGGGTGAAATAAAAATATTCTAAGATAAATGAAGTGCTTAATAATGTGAGTTGAATGACTTAATGACCCTACAAAAGGCAGTGAGGAACAATACTCCTTTCAATATCCAAAAACATGTAGGATTGGAATTGGAGAAAGACAAAGCCACAGCTTAAGAGGCCTGGGAGACTCGTGTCACCAGAGGACCATAACATGTTAATTAACAGAAGGAAATAAAGAGAACATCCAGAAGTTGACAATGTAAAGGATTTGGCTGATCATATGACAAGCAGAATACAGACCCAGGCAGTCCTTCCTTGGCACAGTAACATATGAATGTAAAAATGACCATGCAGACAGAAACTATGTAAGCAATACTAATAATCGATGGGAAAAATTACAAGTATTCTGTGGCCTTTAAAAATATTTGTCAAAACACTAAAACCTCTCTTACTGTCAGATAGAAAGATATAGGAAAACTTTTTAAATAGAAAAATTAATATTTCATATTCTATAATTGAAATGTCAGAAATAACTGAGAATTAAATGTTTTACTTCTTTATTAAAAAATCAGGTGTATTTTGAATAGTGATTGCTTTCTTCTAACTTTATAACTTGGAATATGAAGCAAGCATCTTTCTATGCCTTAACAAATAGTCATATTTTTTTTTAAAAAGTTTGTATCAGCTTCCAGTATTTTATTCTTTGCACTTTCAATGTTGTGAGTCCTCTCAATACGATGTTTTGTTTATTTATTTGCTATGGTCACTATCTCTGAGACATCTTCATCTATCCTTGTAACTACTTGCTACATTTATGTTGATAACCACCTTGACTAAATTCCTCTGGCTGCACAGCTAGGGTCTTTAATACACTACTGGGACCTGATCAAACTAAAAAGCTTCTGCACAGCCAAGAACACAGTAAGTAAAGCAAGCATACAGCCCTCAAAGTGGGAAAAGTTATTTGTAGATTATGTCCCTGACAAAGGTTTAATAACCAGAATCCAGAGACAACTCAAACATATTAGCAAGAAAAGAACAAGTGATCCCATTTCAGGGTGGGCAAGGGACTCGAAGAGAAACTTCTCTGAAGAAGACAGATGCATGGCCTACAGACACATGAAACAATGCTCATCATCCTTAATCATCAGAGAAATGCAAATCAAAACTACTTTGAGATATCATCTAACTCCAGTAAGATTAGTCCACATCACAAAATCCCAAAACCAGAGATGTTGGCGTGGATGTGGAGAAAAGGGAACACTTCTACACTGCTGGTGGGAATGCAAACTAATAGGTTCCTTCTGGAAAGATGTTTGGAGAATACTTAGAGATCTAAAAATAGACCTGCCATTCCATCCTACAATTCCTCTTCTAGGTATATATCCAGAAGACTAAAAATCACATTATAACAAAGATATATGTACCAGAATGTTTATTGCAGCCCAATTAATAATTGCTAAGTCATGGAAGAAGCCCAAGTGCCCATCAACCCATAAATTGTGGTATATGTATACCATGGAATATTATGCAGTCTAAAGAAAGATGGAGACTTTACCTCTTACATGTTTACACAGATGGAGCTGGAACACATTCTTTTTAGTAAAGTATCTCAAGAATGGAAGAAAAAGTATCCAAAGTATTCAGTCTTACTATGAAATTATATCCCAAAAAGAAGGGGAGAGGGAGGGGACGGGGGAGGATGGGTGGAGGGATAGTAATTGGTGGGACCACACCTACTGTGCATCTTACAAGGGTACATGTGAAATTTACTAGGTGTAGAATATAAATGTCTTAATATAATAACTAAGAAAACTATGTTAACTAGTTTGATGAAAACATTTCGAATTGTATATAAAACCAGCACATTGTACCCCATGACTGCACTAATGTACAGCTCTAATAAACAAATGTGGCAAGTCAAAAAATAAAAATATAAAAAGAAATCAATAGCAGCAATGTCAACATTTCCACAGTTAGCTATTTCTCCTATAACTATGTTCTTTTGAATTTCACTCTTCATACTATTGCTTTTCATTTTTTTCTTGTTGCACTTTCATCTTAGTAGGCCAATTCCTTCTTTTAATTATTCATTTTTGTAAATATCACGTGAGTTTATCATGTGAGTCAAGGAAGCAAAACAAATTGCATGCTACGTGTGACGGAACGACAGGTGCTAAGAGATTATCAGGGACAAACTGCTGAAAGGTGCGTCTTATTCACATTGGTTTCTGGGAGGGAGAGCTAGCAAAGCAAGTTTGTTCTTTATGCAATTACTCACATTTACTGTCCTATGATAGCTTAAATTTGAACCATGATTTGGAGGGAATGATGTTATTTAATTAAACACCGGTACTTGGAATTCACACCTGCCAGAACAATGAAGGACTATCTGTAGTAAAAGAAAAGACTTTGCATGGACAAAGACAACCAGGACACTTTGATTCCTTAACCACTATCAAGTATATTAGCACAAAGTCTAAGAACTTTGTTTTATTTAAACACAAAAGCCATAATTTATCAAAAACTACCTTGACAGGAAATATGGTCAAAATATTCCAGGGTATATTTTTTGGGAATGTAGCCTGATACTAACAAAAATTTTCTAAACTACAGTGGGAAAATGTTTGAAAGCACAAATAATCACACTTCTTTAACTACCTTCACTTCCATTTGACCATGTATATATTGATCTAAAAAGCCCCTTTATTACCTTGGCTATGAAATAGTCCCAGATACTGAGTTCAGGTGGAATAAACTTCTCCTTAAGTGGCAGCGACTCCTGGCTTACTGGTGGTGAGGAAGAGGTCGGTGGGGTAGAATCTCTGCAAGACATTTTTGATGGTCTAAAATGTTTGCTCTGTTTCTCTCCTTCTCCAACTAGTGAAGAAACTAACAAGAAGAAAATCAAGTATTATTAAGTTAAGTACTGTCTTCATTGTACTTATCTCACTTGTCTTTATATAAAACCTAAGGTTAACTACAAGTATACACACAAAAAATTAAGTACAGAGCAGGTAAGAAAATAAGGGAAGTAAGACAAAAATCATTTTGTATAGCAACCTCCATTTTTTCCTCAACTTGACCATCACTCTCTGAATGGTGACTTATCTACTGTATATATAGGATAAAAGGATGTAATATGTGCCAGTAAATCAGTCTGCAGTTTAGGTAGGAACCTGATTAAGAAATTTCCTACATCCTTCTACTTTACTTTTTAAAGAATATAATGGAATGTTGATGTTAATTAAAAGCAACAGCTTACTTCTGAGATCCTTCAATAATTACTTCGCCTCATATTTACATATAAAACTACATTTTTCATTAGAAAAAAATTTTTTTTGAGACAGAGTCTCACTATGCCATCCTGTCACAGCTCACAGCAACCTCAAACTCTAGGGCTTAAGCGATTCTCTTGCCTCAGCCTTCCAAGTAGCTGGGACTATGGGTGCCCTCCGTAACTGTGCAGTTGTCATTGTTTAGCTGGCCGGGGTCGAACCTGCCAGCCTCAGCGTATATGGCTGGCACTGTAACCACTGTGCTATGAGTGCCAAGCCTCATTAGAAAATATTTTTTAAAATTCAAGCACCATAACTACTCAAAGTGATTCAAACTTTTAGAAATGGCTCAGAGATGTAATTTTTAGTCAATGGAATTACAAAGAAAAATGCAATCATTGTTTTATTTTCTAAACACTCTACAGTTGAATAGTCAGTATTCTCTTTGCATTTTATCTTAGAATATTACAGAGATTAGCATTTAAAATGTTACACAAATCTTTAATCAACACTAAATCACAAGATGCAAATCACCAGTATGGAATCAAGATCTTACAGGCACGGCCATAACCTAATAGACAGGCAAGCAATTCCACATTAAGGCACACCAATATTCTCCTTCAATGGTTCCAACGAGATTTTACTTACCTTCCAAAGGTACGCAAATAGTAGTGCTGCAATACAATTTTGTTTTATTGTTTGAAGCTACTCAGCTTGCAGACACAGCATGCACATGCATTATATCAAGCTACAGTAAGCTGAATTTAATGTAGTAATTTGGTTATTTCAGAAAAAAGGAAAGATGAATAAAATATTAGTATTCTGAGAGTACTAAAAAGTAGTATGATTAATCTACTACTTTCATTAAATGTGTGCATAATTTTTCTTGTTCTTACTAACACTTGACAATCAACAATTAAATTTTCAGTATACCTGTTACATACATAAATACACACTATAAACTTAAACAGTGGTTTTACCAACTTAGCAAGTAAAAAATTTAGAATATGGTGTTTTTTATTAACCTTTCAAAAATGTAATCCAAAGGTTTAAGATAAATGTATCACTTTCATGTTACTTTTTTTCTTTCTTCTTTCTTTTTTAATTAAGAAAAAGGGTCTTGTTCTATTTCCTTGACTGGCCTCAAACTCCTGGACACAAGTAATTTTCCCATTCAGCCTCCCTGAAGGCACATGCCACTGTACTGGTTGCTCTTTTTTTTTTTTACGTTACCAGAAGGCATGTGAACAAAGAAGTACACATAATCTCTGAAAAACCATAACTTATAAACAATTCTTAATTAATGGATTTTGCCAGGAGGAAAAGAACAAGACGGCTGACTAAAGGTAGCTTTCATCAGATAATCCCAGACAGGAGAACTGAACCGAAGTGAACTTGGAGTACTTGAAATTGGGGGACAGATTGAATGGACCAAAAATTAAGGTGCTCAGCAGCCCCACTGGGACAAATGACAAGGGTGAAGAGGAGAAAGAGGGAGAGGGCAGAGGGCAATTACAGAGTGAACCAGACTCAGAAGAGCCTAGAGTTGAATAGAAGGGTAGTGGGGACTGCCTCCCCCCCAGGCCCCATGCGAGGTGAACCACAGGACCTGTCACCCCATAGACAGCGCCACCAGGCACCAAAGACCCAGCTTTCCTGCATCTAGGCGAGTGCTCTCTGGGCCCCCTCTTGCCTGGCAAAAGAGTAAGGAATTCTGGTTCTAGCCGCCTGTGGCCATAGCTCATCCTTCTTTTTCTTTGGTTGCAGGACAGAGGCCTGCCTACCTCTGAACCCACAAGTTGAGAATGCTACTCTGGCTCAGAGAGCCTGGAAAGGGTGCGTCACCCCCAGGCACCAGAGAGCCAAAAGGACTTTGGACCCTACACAGCCCCCATAGTGACCTTAAAAGCAAGTGCTGTAGAGGCCAGTTTTTCTCTCACTGGCATCTGGCAGGGATGACTGCTGGCAAAAAAAAAAAAATGAACAGAGGCAGGCCCTGCCTTCCCCAGCATACCTGACAAAACTCAGGAGAGCGAGCCTCTACACCATGAGGCTCTGTGAAGGGGGACTGCCCCCACCCCCAACTGCTTAGAGAGGGGCAGGCCTAGCCTCGGGCCACCTGTTCTGGGAAATCCTCAGACGCAATACTGCAAGCTGCAGACTCCCCTCCCCCAACCACAGGTGAAAGCAGGGGTTTTTGAATCTGTTGCTGGCAGTGCTGATCTTTGGCTGGGACAGTTCACCTTGTTATCCCTAACCTGATGCTGGCCCAGGAGCATCACCCACCTGGAGGTCCTGCCCTAGCCCACCCAGCTTAGAGAAAACAAGGCTGTGTGGGAACCCCCATAACATGCAGCCCTGAAAGGGAGACTATGTGTGAGAAAGGCCATAGGGAAAAGCAGTGGCTCATTTAAATAGTCAGTGGTGGAGGTGGCGCCTGTGGCTCAAAGGAGTAGGGCACCAGCCCCATATGCCAGAGGTGGTGGGTTCAAACCCAGCCCCAGCCAAAAACTGGAAAAAAAAAAATTAGTCAGTGGTGAAGGGGAGTGGTAAGCTCCACATCCTAGGGCCTCTGGATCTGATTCTTTCCCATCAGTTTAGTTTCTAAATGGTCTTAAACTCTTGCTGGGTGAGTTGCTATAACAACAAGCTGCTGCATCACTTTGACAGGCTTTGTAAGGGGAACAGCGAACTCCATACCCCAGGGTCCTTGAAACTGTGATCAGCCAGCCTGTTTTAGCATCCAAAAGGCCTCAAAATCCTATTAAGTAGGCTAATTCTAGCAAGCAACTGCTTTGCTCTGGCAGGATCTAGAAGGGGTGGGGCCAGCTCTACATCCCATGACCTCTGAACTCGACATCAGCTCCTCAGAACAGGTATCCAAGTAGTCCTAATAAGCTACGGAGTAGTTGACAGTACAAGAAGTAGCCACTTGGCACCAGCATGCCCTGGAATATAAGTGGAGATACCAGGCCACCGGGATCAGGCAGCCAAACACCCCTAAAACCCACTAAGCAGCTGGTGGAACTAACAGCTGCCACTTGGCACTGGCAAGTCCTAGAAGGGGCATGGAGAGCTCTGCATTTGGGGACAGCTGGTTCCATCACCAGCCCACATGGCTCAACATCCAAAAGGCCCTAGAGCCTGGTGAATGGCACTATTGCTGGCAGATGGGTGTGCCTCTTAGTTGGCCCAGGCTCTGGGTTCCAGTCTACACCTGCCACCTAGGAGCTGCCTAAGGGAACACAACAAGAATATGTCTCAACAATTTAGCACCAAACATTATAGCTTAAAATTTATTTTAAATTTGGGCGGTGCCTATGGCTCAGTGGGTAGGGCGCCGGCCCCATATACCAAGGGTGGTGAGTTCAAACCTGGCCCTGGCCAAACTGCAACAAAAAAATAGCCGAGTGTTGAGGTGGGTGCCTGTAGTCCCAGTTATTCAGGAGGCTGAGGTAAAAGAATCACCTAAGCCCATGAGTTGGAGATTGCTCTGTGTGACACCATGGCACTCCACCAAGGGCGATGGCAATAAAGTGAGACTCTGTCTCTACAAAAAAAAAAAAGAAAAAATTAAATTTAAAAAATGTAAATGGCCAAAAAGATAAATAGAATTGAAGAAAAAAAATCAAAAAGGAGTCCAAAAACTGTCTCAAGAAATAAGCAATAAGCAAGGGTCGGCACCTGTGGCTCAGGCCCCAAAGGTGCCAGCCACATATACCTGAGCTGCCGGGTTCAAATCCAGCTCGGGCCCGCCAAACAACAAGGATGGCTGCAACCAAAAAATAGCCGGGCGTCGTGGTGGGTGCCTGTTGTTCCAGCTACTTGGGAGGTGGAGGCAGGAGAATCACTTGAGCCCAGGAGTTGGAGGTTGCTGTGAGCTGTGATGCCACAGCACTCTCCCCAGGGTGACAGCTTGAGGCTCTGTCTCAAAAAAAAAAAAAAAAAAAAAAAAAAAAGAAGCAAAGCTGGCTCGGTGCCTGTAGCACAGTGGTTATGGCGCCAGCCACGTACACCAAAGTTGGTGGGTTTGAACCTAGGCCAGCTAAACAACAATGACAACTCCAACAAAACATAGCTGGGCCTTGTGGCGGGTGCCTGAGGCCCAGCTACTTGGGAGGCTGAGGCAAGAGAATCACTTAAGCTCAAGAGTTGAAGGCTGCTGTGAGCTGTAACGCCAGCACTCTATTGAGGGCGACACATCGGTACTCTGTCTCAAAAACAAAAAAAAGAAATAAGCAAAACTAAAGACAAAGTCACCACGGATTTGGATATAATTGGGAAGGACATAACAGAGTTTAATGAACTGGAAGAAGCAAAGAGTTTCAAAACATAGGAGAGAGTCTCAACAACAGAGTAGAACATGGAGAAGAATGAATCTTAGAACTCAAAGACAAGACTTTTGAACTAACTCAATCATTCAAAGAGGCAGAAAAGAAGAGAGCAAAAGCAGAACAATCTCTTGGACAGAAGTGGGATCACACAAAATACAAAAACATATGAATCATGGGGATCCCTGAAGGAGAAGAGAGTCCTAAAAGCATTGAAGCTCTACTTTAAGACATCATTGTGAAGAATTTCCCAAGCATTGCAAGAGACCCAGAAGTACAGATA